TCAGCCTTCCTTTGCCAAACCTTCGTATAACCATGCATTTTTGTTGTTTGTTTTAGATCTAAAACTTATTTATTATTTATTTCTTCAAAAGCGCAGCGCAATATTCGAGTCAGTGCCTTGAAAGAAACGTTTTGTCTGTTCATGAACCAGACATGTTTTGGATTTGGAGACGCAAGGTTACGGAGAAAAGTTTCTGTCTACACGAAATGTTGGAAGCTATATAAGTTGGAGAAGTGGGATACCTTTCGAGCAAGCCCGCGCCTATTTTAGCGAGGGGGATGTAGTCCTCGTTGCTAAGGATTTCTTGAAAAGCTTTTCTAAAGAAAAAGCTTTTGTCTGGCTTGTGGAGCTGACTTTAGACGCTATGTTCAGCAGAGTGTCTCAAGTGTTTTCAAGTTTTTCTTTTCAACCGTCGTTTCGCATAAAGTTATTCGTACCGTTTTTATTTGCTGATTTCTTTTATATACAAATGCACTTGATAACGGATTATTACGTGTATAAATTTTTACAGTTCTACTATTTGCAGAACTTTTGTAAGAACAATTGTAAGAACGAAACAACAAGTTTGCGTAGATATGATAAAGAACAGAACAAATTTAGCTTTCCAGAAAATATTGTAAAAGCAAATTTATTCAGCTCTTTCTCTTATCTATGCAAACTCATTGTTTCGTTCTTACCATTACAATCAGAGTCAATTTATTCATCCAAAAGGATTTTTCTTTACACGAAAGGTTGGAAGGAATCTAACTGCGTTAGATTATTTTCTATAGCGTCCAAGATATTTCGTTGAAAATAGTATCCTGTAGGGTAAGGTTCTTTGTACTCTATTTGATTAAAAAGTACAATACATAGAATAATAATTATACGGTATGATAGGATACGGTCTAATGTGATAAAGCTTTTATACTAAAGAGTGTGGATACACCAAAGCCTTATCTACACGACTCTAGAGGAAGTACATTATATCGCAACGTCTTTCTTCGAAAACATGTCAGATGATGAAAAAACTAAATTTTGCAGTACTTACCATCTCTTTTTCTCTGTCACCTTGCGTCTACAAATCCAAAACATGTCCACAATGCTCAGATGCGCTATTCAAACGTTTTCTGACGAAATGTCCTGAACTCATTTGCTGTCAAGTATATACTCATTGAACTTTTATTTAGACTTAGCGTGCAAGCGTTATTATAAGCATATGTCTTTCACGAATCCGATCCAATCTTCTTGTTCCTTTTCTTTAGATGGCTTACAACTATCACAATCAAAATGATTCCAGCACAAGAAATCAGTTTACTCGTAAGTCAAATGATCAATATTCACATACAACCGGCGATACTTCTGGAGTGAGTTTTTTTCTGTAGAATGACTTACGTTAGTTCTTATGTGGAAAAAGAAACCATTTTGCTAGTCGAAATGAAAAAAACTCAGTTTTTCCAGTTAAAATCAACACCAAGAAGGAAGGGATCTGTTTTTCAGAGCATTGTTTTGATAGACAGTATTTGAAAATCGAACGGCAAATTGTATTTTTTGGGAAACGGCATTGAAATGAGAACGATTATTGATTTCGTTAAAAAAATATTTGGGTTTTCAGTTTCACCTAACCAGAATACTATCATGTTTTCCCGACGTTATTCCATAGGTTTGCATCATTTCATGGTAGCAACAATGTAGTTGTATTGAGGTGTTTATCATGAAGAATCTCAGGTTTAAGTGATAAAATAAAGTTCCCATGTTTGCTAGCGTCATTGCTGTTTAGATCAGCTGTTAATAGTTCCATAAACGTAGATGATCACCAACTATTCTTGAACAGATACACAGAGCGTCATCCATTAAAGAACGCAAACAGGCACCGAACATTCGGCCTCTCTGATGTCGAGCTATGAACAATTTCCAATTATTTTCAAATCGATGTGTTGAGCGTTTTTAACCATAAATGTAATTTAATGTTGTATCATTATAATTTTTGTAGACTTAGTTTTCGTTGGAGAATCAGGAAAGAATAGATTTGGAATTTTAGGAAAACAATAAGTATGAATAATTGCACGGTGTTTTCCTTATTTTCAAAACCTGGATATTTTTAAATGTTTTCAAGAAAAAATGACTTCTTAGAACGTAAGATTGCGTGTTTCCGATGCAACTCGATGAGCTCTATCCAATCGTGCAAAAAAAAAATGTCTTGCTGTAATTTTGAGTTAGCGGCACCTCACTCATCTCGAATGATATAGCGGCAGCAGCTGCTGACTTTTGAAGATCGGCAAGGCTCGATGTAAGAACGTTTTCGCGTAGGTAACTCAATGTCGTACCAAACTTTAAAAGTGAGAACTGAACTTTGTACAAAAACGTCTCAGAGTTCGAGATCTCATTCTCCATAAACGAGGCTTGAAAAATCGAAGCGCATGTCCGACTATGTAGTTCAGCAATATGTCTCCCTGTCTTTTATTTAAAAGTGTTTTGGGACTTTTTCTAGGAAATATTGTTTTTAGATTTGGTTTAATTGGAATAATTAATTTGTTTCAGTCACGCATGCTGTACAAAAATGCTGTAAAACTTTTCATTTCTTCTTCAAAATTTTTCTTTAATCATCAGAACAACATAAGACGTTTGATACAATAAAAAAGTGCTATAAATACAATTGCACAAACATTTAGTAGATTCTTATTCGAGAAGACTGTCGAATCTGTATCAATACATTAAAAACATGCTTCTGTTTTATTTTCTAATAGATGCCTTATATATCTTTGTCACATCTACCGAAATATGGTCTAATTATACTTGGTAACAGTGGTGTTGGTAAGAGCTTTTTAGCCAATATACTTTTAGGTAAAGAGGTGTTTCAACATAAATTTTCGTCAAGTTCTGTTACGCATGAAACCGAGTCTTATGAAGTTCAACTTGGTGAGACATCTTTTGCTGTATTCAATATACCTGGTCTGATTGAAGCTGATCAAAACCGTATTGATTTAAATAAACAAGAAATTTATAAAGCATTTGAACAACGACCAAATTCCATTATTATTTATGTATTTGGAAATACAAATGGTCGTATACGTGATGAAGATTTTATTGCATTTAATGCTATTAATAAAGCATTTCCATTTAATGAAGATTCATTAGTTATTGCTATTAATAGTTTACCAAAGAAACGTCCAGAAAATTATGAGGGTGAAGCAACTGTGAAATTCCAACAATATTTACGTATGAAATTACCTAATCTCTGCTTCTTAAATCAAATTAATGAAGATAACCAAAGTGAAAGAGAAAGGTTGAGAGAAAAATTGTTACACGTAACAATTTGTTGTCGACCAGAGTATCATGTTAAACAACAAGAAATTAAATTAAATGCTGATGAAATCAGTGAATTAAAAGAAGGTGTTAGAAAACAACAAGAAGCATATGAACGTCAAAAGGCACAATTCCAAAACCAAATTGATAAGGCTCAGCAAAAATACGCACAGTTAGAAAAAGACAGACAATCTGATATTGCCGACTTTGAGAAAAAAATTAACTCGTTGAATAAAAACTTACTTGAAGCAAACCGACAACACTACAATGAAATTGCCAGCCATCAAAAGGAAATTAATTCATTGAGTCGGAAATTACGAGACCGCCCTAATCCTGCACCGATCAATAATCACTATTATCCTCCTAAACCATCGACTTCAAAAAAGAAAAGTGTAAGTGTGTTATTTTGGTGTTTTAAGAGTGACTTTTTCAACCCATCGAGTAATGCATTCCAGACATTAAATGCTTTTCGATTTCCCACATTTATATGGAGAATCGAGTGAAACCATTGGAGACCAGAAAGAAATGATTTCGGGAAGACCTATAAGAAGAATGCTAGATCGCGTCAAAAGTCTCTCTTAAATTCAGGTTGTTATTGTGGGAATGCTACTTTACTATTTACCTTACTGAGTAATGTAATAAACTATTATTACCAGCTACTGGTTAGTAGGACACATCTAATAAAAATCCTTGTAAAGTACCCATCAACTGTAAAAAAGTTAATTCCTACTTACTTAGGCAAGTACCAGTCCCTAGTTGTTACTCATAATCATATATTTATTTTTTTAGCTCTGTGTTGTTTCGTAATAACTTCAATCATTTAAAAGTAAGGGCTGCGAACTCGAAAAACATCGTTTTCAAGGCAAAGAATCGATTTTTATTTTCATAATTTGTTCAAATGGATATCTTATTGCTTTTTTTCTATTTATACAAATAAATTTCTTTATTCATGAAATCGAGAAGTATCAATTTGATTCGTTTCTACTATTTCATCCAGTTCAAATAGCTATTCTAGACTCATTGAAGATCCAAATAAATTGATTTTTTTAATATTCGCTACTGACAGCCGTCAAAATTAACATCCGAGCTAACGGAGTATTCGGAGCAATCATGGAATAACATAAACCGCTTGACGTTTGTGTAAGAAAAAAGATAGATAAAATCTATATATAAAATCTATCTTTTATCCTACAGTTTAGTCCATTTATTTTTTTCTATATATCACTTTTTATTAACTCTTATATAACACATAAAAGAAACATGGACTCTGCTAATTAATTATAGGTAATAGATGTATTCTACTTGGCATCAATACTAGAGCCCTGCAGGTTACAACTTTTTCATAGCCTATAACCTGTCCTGTTAAAACTTTAACAACCTATAATACCTCGTAATATAACCATAACCTTATACCTCGTAACCTGTAATATTTTTTGCGTAATCTGTTCTATCCTATCCTGCGAAAAAAGTACTGCAAAAAAATGAGTATCCAAGGTCTAAAATTTCTCCTAACGAAGTAAATTTTTTCATTTACTTTATTCCCTTGACTGTATAGACTTTCATATATTTCCATATATTCCATACATTTCATACACTTTCATGCATTTCATACATATCAGACTATTCTTACATCTTATACATTTGGACACATCTGCAGAAACATATAGCTCGTCTAAATTATGGAAAAAGCAGTTTTTCGAGACGTTGAGTGTTTTGGTAAGATTTCAGTTGTTTCGCAATTTTTTTAGTTAGTTGGTTCCATACCGATAAAACTTGCTAAAAGTGTTCACAGTACACTTGATGAAGTGTCTAAAGCTCAACTCTCTATCCGGTAGCGGGGGTAGAATATTTCAAAGCTGCATTAAGACTTTAACGTTAATTTCTGCGGCCTCCTTAGAATTCATAATTATAATGGGATTTTCTGCATCAACTGTTTCCTGAGTTTAAATTTGTTCCTTCTTTTCTAACAAAAGTTTGGCTCAACCAACGCGCGCTGAAGTATCCTTCGATTCCAAAGACTTTGATCACCTTTCTGCGCATGTTGGTATAATGTTCTGAACGCGCTGCGCTCATTTACCACTGGACTGGCCTTGGGAATGAGCTTAACTTTTATGTCAGCTACTTTGTTGCTATTGTCTATCTTATTATACAGAAGTGGTACAACGACAGAACTACTTTTTAAATCAGTATATGCAATAAATAATCAAATACATATGTAAGCAGTAGAATGAGATATTGTGTAATAATAAAAAAGAGCGACGTGTGGCTTTTTAGTTACTCTACTGTATAAAAACATCAAAACAAAACTTTTTTAGCCGTAATTCCTTTTAGACCAAACTGCAATCTGTTTTACTCGGTAATTGTCTTCCAGAACAGGTCACAGGACAATAATAAGGCAACCAAGGGAACTTCCAGTTTTCATGGTCTCATATTCTTCCTGCTCGCTTCTCTAGTAGTCTAACAAATTTCTTTAACTTTATTCAAAAGAAATTAAAAGAAATTAGACTAAAACCTCAATTGGACTACAAAAAGTATAATCACTGTTGAAAGTTATTCATAAAGACAGTGCACACAGTCAGCAGTATTTTGGATTTTACACTGGTCACAAAGAGAAATACACAAATATCGTGGACATACCAATAAGGTATTCGTGATATTCTGGCTAACAAAATAACCTAAAATAAAATAAAGTTCTCGCTATTCAGCTTTCTTACGTTCAAAATAATTTAGAGCTTCGAATTTTTTAGAAGTTAATTTCTCTTCCCCAGGTCGATTATTTCGACCGTAAACTGGAATTTACGATATCAGATACTACAGTCTACGATGACGTATACTGCAGTATACGTCAAAATGCGCCACCGTTTACGATGAAATACGACGAAGTAATCCGGGAAGAAGTATTACGATGTCGTATTTTGAATGACTGGATACGACCGTTTACGATCGTATACGTCAAGTATTTGGAACCTAAGAGTACCCAGTTACATTTACTTAAGACTATCTTATACATCATTTTGTAGCTCATAAAATTCTCTAGCGAATGATATATAAAGTAGAGTGGTTAACGAGAAAATCAATCACTATTATAGACATGAACGACGCTGACACACCGATTTGTTGAGATACTAATGAGTATTTCGAACCTTAGACTACTCAGTTACATTTTCTTCTGAATATTTTGTATATCATTGTGTAGCCCGTGAGATTCTCTATCGAATGATATATGAAGTGGGGTGGTTAACGAGAAAATAACTTATTATTAAATGCAAATCGCTATTGACCTGAACTGCGGCCTCTAATTGGTATGTTTGTTAATATTTTGCCCTATCGCTTCAAACTTGATCCTCAACAAACATTTGACGATATTGTCGAACAAGTTAAACAATTATGCGTGGAAATATTTCAGTATTCCTATTTACCTTACCAAGAATTAGCACAATTACAGTGTTCACAATGGGACAATGAAACAATAGCATTATTGATGCCTTATGTACAAGTACCGTTTAATTATCTTTCATTCTGATGATATCCACTTAGACAGTCATCAGTTCGTATCCCATAGACAAGCATTATGTCTCCCAATTTGATCTATCATTCAGTATAGATTATAACAGATTTAAAACATTAATGAAATATTTATTTTTATATTCATCGGATGTGTTCAAAAATGAAACTGTTGTTCAACTGTCAGAACAATTTCAATGTTTATTGAAGCAACTATTTGCATCTACATTTGATAGACATTATCAATCAATTGATGAATTGCTACTTATTTTTAACCACGCAAAACAGATGAATGTCAAGCAAGGAGAATTAAAAAATACGACAAATGAACAGACAATATGTTGCGAATGGCGTAGTGAATAACTGATTAGTCGTGCTTGTCTAAATCTTATTATGAACTGCCACTAAGTCACAAAATTTTTGTTGACATTTGGACATAATGTACTTGTCTTTTTTTCCTTCTTTAAAACCTATATTAAACATTCTTTTTGTACTTATATTACTAATAAAATGTATATTCCATATATTGCTGATTTAAAATAGCTCTAGGTCGATCAACAATTCGATAATTCTTTTGTCGACGATTGGACTATCTCACGCACCGTTCCATTTGGTTTGTCTTATTGTGAAGCATGTTTGGAACTTCAGAGACTTAGTCAGCGTACTCTAGATAAAATCGAAGTATACTGTCAATATTGGATAATTAAACTGAGTGTAAAAAAGACAGTTGGGATGTTGATTCATTCTCAGGTAACATTAACATTATTCACACTTTATTATGGTACGGATTTATTTCCATTTGTTTCTAAGTTTACTTATATTGGATATCTAACAACTTCAAAATTAGGAAATGGACTATTTTTAAAAGAACAATGTCGTAAAATCGCCATGTCGTTCCGTACTGTATCCGTTCTTTTTTCTCGCCTTGGACTTTTGTCGATTCGATTGCGGAGAGGTTCATTCTATGCACTTGTTTATCCATATTTCGTCTGGATAATTTCATTTTTCTTTTATTTAACTCCTCTTCAACAAGAACGAATACCCAATTATATCTGTATTATCTAAAGAGGGTATACGGTCGTTGCCAACTCGACACGCATCTCTTTCTTTGTTTATCGGGCGAGCAAACGTTTCTCGATAGATCTTATACATACTGACTTAAATATATTTCTTCTATTTCGAGACAACCTGATTCTTCTGCGCTGTTCCACTACTGGAGCTTCGACAGATGCATTCGGGATTCTAGATCCACAACGAATCAGATGGAACCCTATGTACGTAGATTTCAGCACATTTTTGTTAAAGTTGGACATTTTCTAATTACACATAACAGTTCTCTCTTAAATTATGTTCGATTCTTCAAACATCTTCGAAACGATATTCGATTATTTCTGTCCTATCCAAACTCTTTCACCTTTTAACCTGAACAGTTTTTATTGTTTGTCTGCTTGTCCAGCGGCTTGTTCACGTAACGCGCTACTTCGTTGCGGAAGTTTTTTTGTCGAAAATCTGGGAATCCATTTGTACCAGGCTGTAGAGCGGTTCTCGGGAAAATCTAAATGAGCCATTTTGTTCAGAATTC